TTATTTTCTTCAATGTACGCGAAAGAAGAAAAAATTGCCATAAACCCCACAGGAAACTTGCTCGCAGGATACCATCAACTTGGTGCATGCACACAATCGGACCAACCACTGTAGAGGATAATAAATGAAAAAAGGTGGTAAAATGAACTGGGTCGCTACCCCCTTTAGAACGAGCTACATGTAACCACTAAATTAGATGATTCTCGAGTGCTCCAGTGACACTATATCTCCAATCCTTTCTGATATTATCAACATATCAATTGAACTAGAAGCCTATCCTTCTAAGCTTAAGATATCAAAAATCGTCCCAGTCTTTAAAAGTGATGATGAATGTGATGCCTCCAATTATCGACCGATATCTTTATTGTCAAAATTTTAACAGAATATTTAAGAAAGTAATGTATAATCGTTTGAAAGACTTCATAGAAAAATATGACATGTTGAACCTGTCGCAGTATGGCTTCCGTAAGGCCCATGCCACACACCACGCTATTATTGACATTGTTGAAGCCATTCAGACTAATATGGACCAACGCCTCTTTACATGTGGAATCTTTGTTGACCTGAAAAAAGCCTTCGACACAGTTAACCATAAATACTTCTTGATAAACTTCATCATAATGGCTTTCGAGGAATAGTTAACAACTGGCTTTCATCCTACTTATCAAATGGTATACAATCAAAGCAAATTGGCCAGCTAATATACGACAAATGTGACGTCATGTGTGGTGTACCACAGGGATCTGTATTAGGGCCCTTTCTTTTTTACTTTATATCAGTGATGTTCATTTTTGCTCTGAAAAATTAAATTTCTTTCTTTTTCCGGATGGTACTAATATCCTTTACGCTGACAAAAACTTGAAATCTATTGAATTGACAGTAAATATTAAATTACAAATAAGACTGGCTCACTGCAAATAAGTTAACATTAAATGCTAAAAAAATCTAACTATGTCATTTTTCGGCCCTATAAAAAAAAGTCCATAATCATAATCCGCCTCGAATTTCTATTAATGATAATAAAACCAATAAAAGTGTAAATCCGTGGAAGTTCTCCAGTCGTTCTCTCGTAGTTAGTTTTGCTTGATCTCCTCAATAAGATCTCCTCAATAAGTTTGTTGTTAAGTTTGCGTTGCAGTGCGGGTGTCGGGTCTCGTTTAAGTACTTCGTAGGTCTGTTTGTCGTTAACAAGCGAGTCCATTTTGTCGTCAGACACACACTTTAACAGACAGAACGCGGACATACAGTTCACCAAGGAGATCGAAGAAAATTGTAAGATACCTTTTCTAGAATGGTTGGTCACTCGCGACAACAACAAACTAAAAACGACTTTTTACAGAAAACCGACACATACCGACCGATTACTAGACCAGTCTTCGTGCAGCCCGACCTCTCATAAGGCTACTACTATCCGGACTCTGACGAGACGAGCGCAACTAGTTTGCGACTCATCTGACAACCTACAAGACGAGACTGATTATCGTAACAACGTTTTTAGTAAGAACAATTACAACACGGACTTTGTTAGACGGAACACTCACAGTAACACTGATTCCAACACTCAGACCAACTCTGGCCCTGTTACGACAGCGACTATACCGTACATCAGAGGCACCTCTGAAACTATTGCACGTATATTACAACCTTACAATATACGTGTTGCACACAAACCGATAACCACTTAACGGTGACTGCTTACTAATGTCAAGAACAAAGACAAACCGGAGGACAGACAGGGAGCAGTATATAAGATCAAATGGTGCGACTGCCAGGCTTCTTACATTGGTGAAACCGGCAGAAATCTAAGCACGCGACTGACCGAACACAAACGAGCGACGAGGAATGGTGACGTCAACAATCACATCGCTGAGCACCATTTAAAGGCGAAAAATCAAATTGACTGTGACTCTGCTTCATGTATAACGTATTCTACAGACTACTATCAACGTCTTACTGTAGAAAGCTGGTTTACTAACTTAGAACAAACGCCACTGAATCGTAGCCAACAGTTACCAGCGCCGTACAAACGACTTATTGAGGAGATCAAGCAAAACTAACTACGAGATAACGACTGGAGAACTGACAATTTGACTAACAATAGAGGACTCTGTAACTGTGACAATAGACGGATCGAAACGCACCAATTACTGATAACGAGTCTTCATAGCCAATAACATCACGGCTTAACTGACAGACGACCAATAACATCGCGACATAATTGACCAATCAGATCAATAACCAGAGTATAATACCATCAACTGACGTGATACAACTCACTTTGACTCTGAAGATGACTACCGCACTGGTTGTCGAAACGTCAGTCACTGTCAGCAACAACACTCCTATTCAGGACTACGTTCACCCTGACGATCAAACTCAACCTACTTCTGAAAAGTGTAAATCTTGAACGAAAAGATTGCGTAAAATATCTAGGAGTCTTAATAGATGAGAATCTGTCTTGGAGAAAACATGTTGTCACAGTTGCCACCAAGACAAGTAAAACGATTGGTATGCTATCTAAGTTAAGACACTTTGTACCTTCCTCTCTTCTTGTGAACGTTTGCAATGCACTGATAACACCTTAGTTAACCTATGGTCTTACCTCTTGGGTAAACGCCTGTAAAACGTATCTCGACAAAATACTTATCCTTCAAAACCGTGCACTACGCTTAATATATTCTGCAAACAAACAAGACCGTGCTATTCCTTTATTCGTAGATGCTAAAATATTGCCATTAAATTTATTGTATTATGAATCCGTCTTAAACTTAATGCACGACATAGACGAAACAAATGCACCGATAAATATTTTGAACTTGTTTTCAAGGACACCAAATTCACATCACTAGTAGTCTACACGCTCATCAACTTCATAAAAAAATCTAGACTTGATATACAAAAGAATGCGTTCTCTCGTGTTGGCGCAAACATATGGAATGAGATGCCAAATAGCTTAAAAAACATATCAAGGAAGAACTTCAGAAAAAAACCTAAAGGAGCTTTATTAAATATACTGAAAACCGAAGACAAATATATAGATAACGACAAAATCATGGCCAGACTTCAAAAACATTAACTTACAAGTCTTCTCTCTATGGAGTGTTTTCACATGACGTAACAGCGGCCATATTGGTGTCCCAAAACAATGAAACGGCGGCCATGTTGGTTTCCCATTGGGAGTTGAACTCTTTTCAGATGCAAACGCTTTCTTTTGTTCTAATAAATTTGCATAGATGTTGGCCACGTGAGTGAATACACTCTAAATATAACTAGTACCTATCATCATAATTGTTTCTTTTTTTGTTCTTTAATTAGTTTTCCTTTTTTTGGTTTAATGTGGAACCACATTACTTATACATTTCTCTCCTTTTTTCTGAGAAACTGTTACTTTGTTAATCTCTTTTTTTTGACATCTGTAATATTTGAAAACTTGTGAGACTGACCTGCCTCGATTAGTTTTAGCTACCTGTAGGTCAGTCAGATTTGATTTTAATAGTTTTTAATATATAATAAAAAACATGAAACTTGATAAATAATGGCGGAAATAATTGCAATTACTCTAGAAAGGCATTTTGTATCAGACACTTTAAGATAGGCTGTTTCCGTGTTCGGGTTGGGATAAATTATCACTACCCTAGCCCCGGTAAAAACGGGCAGACCGCCTCTTATCCCGGAGAAACGGCTAGGCTACCGGGTATAACAATGATGCCGTTATCATATCTGGGTGTTACAGCTGAAAAATTTGGCTATCTATGCATCCAAGGAATTTTAGTTTAACAAAATCCTTAGCCTGCGAGCAAGCTGTCCGGGGCGCTGTGGCGGCGGGACGGGAAAAGGAAGGGGAGCTTGCAACTACGTCTCTGGAATTTGAATGCCTTCATTGAAAAAGTCGATGGGAAATGATGATTGGCGGAGATGACATTAGTAATGATCGATGTCATTACCCTTGGCACGTGTGTTTCAATGTTTGTTTGCATTCGCGCTGGTTTCCGCTTCGTGCAGATTGGCGGAAATCTGACAGCTCAGTCGACGGGGGAGCCACAGGGAGAAGGAATTCCAATTCCAAAGAAACGTAGTTGCAAGCTCTCCTTCCTTAAATCTATATATCATAACGTTAACTATGTATCAAACATTGGCCTACCCGACCCGTAGACAGAAACAGTAGGCCCTTTGCACCTAGCCATTCATGTGGTAAAAAACCGCCGTGCTGGAGAGCAAAAATCGCACTGGAACAAGACAAACAAAAAGCATACATAGTTTTAAATGGTAATTTCCTTTGTTTGTCTCGTCCCAGAGCGACTTTTTTCTACAGCATGGCGGTTTTCTACTACGTGAATGGCTAGCTGCAAAGGGCCTGTTATCAGTCTAAAACAGCGCTAAAACGTACGTGCCAGAAGTCCTTCTGAGTTCTTTTCCTCTACAAAACCCTTAACTTTACTGTCTCTGCCATTTTGATTTGCTTTTTGGGTCAGTGGCGATGAAGCTTTCCACTGATTTTTCTTTTGAAGGAACGATTAGGAGTTGTGAAGTTTTCTGTTGTGGGTCTTTCTATTTTGTCTCTTCTGCTAGAAGATAACAGTGTTAAATCTTCGATCTAGTCCGGCCTTTGCGGGACTTGCCATAAGAAAATTCAATTTAATTGATGAAAAATTTGGCGACCAATTGGTAACAGCCACTTTCCTTTCAAAAAATCTCCAGGTGGATCTACCAATGAAAGCAGATTCTGCTTACTAATACATTCATTTGTACCAACGTCACGTGTTTTGTGACCATTTTTATAGCTGCATATCATTTACAACGGGGAATTACTTACAGTAATCCCTGACTTGAATAAGCTATTATCACACAAACATCTAACGGAATGGGGTAAAACGGATGATTGATCCCTGCTCGCAGCTTTCGACTAGTGGTGGGGTGGAGGGAGGGAGTGTAAGCTTCTTTCTGTCCCCCACGTAGGGTTTGCTCGCATCAGTAGTAGAGTCAATAACACTCACTCTTGCTTACCTTTTGAGATCCTTGTTTTTCTCATCCAGCACCTTCTCCTGCATAGCTAAACACTGCTCAAGGTTAGTTTTCGCTGCCTGTAACTCATTGTTTTCTTTAAGAACCAATGCAACCTCATATAGGGACAACGCAGTTTCCATGTGTTCCCCCAAGAACTCGCTCCGAATTTTCAGCCCTTCCTGAGAACATCTTTGAGCATCTTGAAACTTTCCAAGAGCACGGTAGTTTTTTGACAGGTTGTTTAGAATGGTAGCTGTAAAAGGATGGTCGCCCAGCTTTACTCTGTATATTCGAAGCGTTTTATGTGTTCTGCATTGTACTGCTTCTTGAAGGAGTGCACTAGCTCTTTCTTGTTCACGATGTCGTTGATAATGTGCCGATTCCAGGGAGAGCACAACTACAACACAGGAGACGTTTACAATTTTGTCGCTGGATATATTGTTTTAAGGTTTTTCAAAAAATTAAATCCAACGTAGCACATTATCAGATCTTATCACATTATCAACATTAAGATCATAAAAAAAATATTTAACCGGTTTGCATCTGTACGTGTTGTAGGTTAAAATGAAATTCAGGCTCAAGTGGTTTTTAAGCTTGGAGACAAAGCAAATTGAAAATCAAATTGGGATGAAGCTTCATTTCAAAGAACAACGAATCAAACGAGGTTGAAGGAATGTCCCTCATAGTGAAGCAAGAACTTAGACCCCGACCTTTTATACGGAGAAACGTTGCCCCTGGTAGAAAGGTGATTCACATAATGGGGCTTCCCTGGGCGAGCCAACTTATCAGACATTTCCTTACAAAGCGTGGCGGACCGTTTACATGAGAAACAAAACGTTTGTTCGGCTAAAAGGGTGACCCATGTCACCTAGCCAGGTCACCCTCCTGGCCGGGCCAACTTTTCTTCCGAACCCTGACTCTGGCTCGCCCATCCAGATCAACTCGGTCAAGGTAAGACAATCAGAGCGTGTACGAGTTGGCTGGGTAGAACGATCATCCTTTTTCCCATGTAAATGTCCGCTAAAGTTGACTCGGCTGGGAGGATAGCCCTTCCAACTGGGACAAGTTTTCTCCATATAAATGCGGCCTTAGGCTCACCTGCCAAGTCGTTGTATGTTGCACCTAACATGACTCTATCCTCTTCTCCATGCTTCTTACGAATAGCGATTGCTTTTTGAATCATCCCCTTTCCTTCGGCAAAGTTGCCATCTATGATGGAGACACAACGGCCATATTTGGCAAGGCATTGGGCTCTGCTGTTACCGGTAACAATTGAAAGGTCGGTCTGGATTCTATCGGCTTCCATAAAGTAATTTTTAGCTCTCTTCCCTGCTTCAACTGACAAATGAGGGGAAAAGAAACAACTGAATGCCTCTTTGATCCCAAGTGAAGTAAAACAATCACTCAGTCTTTCTTTATCTTGCAACTGTTGGCACTTGTCTTTCAGCAGATTAAAAACCGCATTAAATCGCTTCTCTCCCATCATCTTTGCAAGTAGCTCGGCTGCTTCGTTGAACACATCAATACACTTAAGTGTTCGTTCTTCGTCTATGACGCCACTCTTGAACCAGTCGAGAAGCTGCATGATATTTTCTACTTCCTGACGAAATGTAGCGCAAGCTTCAAAAGCATCTTTGCTCAGGAACTTCTTGAAAACCTCTTCAAGAAGAAAGAGAAAGTGGTCGATAAAATGCTTTCGGCCGTTCTCGTATACTTGTTGTACACCTTCTTCTTGGGCCTTGTTTTGGCAGTAGAGTTTTTGGACTCCAAGAAGACTGTACCAGCAGGGATCTGTAGGGCCTAATATGTTTCTTTCTAAGAAAGATCGACTAGCCAATTCCAAAATGCGGCCTTCTAACCCCTCTGAACAGAAGACTTCTTTAGCTGTTGACATGGTAAAATGTCCTTTAAACAGCGAAAGACAAATAAGAGTGTGTCGTAGATCCTGGTCAAGTCTGTAAAAGCAAGCGTCAAGGCACACGTCTATTTTCTTGCTTGTGTCAGTTTTAGGAATTGTTATAAATTTCTTGAATTTGTCCCTTGGGTTGGCGTTGGTCATCATTTGCACAAGATCGGGTGGATGGTCTTGCCAAGAAGCCAAGGAAATAAGGGCGAGCGGAATACCATCACAAATATCGGCTATTTTGAAAGCAATTTTTTCGTCCAGCTGAGGGTTACAATAGGTGTTCTTCAGAAGCTCAAATGATGCACTCCTCTCTAACGGATGCAGGCTTACTTTGTGTTGACATGTTTCTGGGAAAAACGTGCACACTGATGAGGTAACGAGCAGCTTGACGTTAGTTGAGGCTGTGATGATTTCTGTGATGAACGTTTTAACTTTAAACCCCTCTGTTTGGTCAATTCTTGTTATCTCCGGATTCATGTTGGCTTCCTCATTGCGATCCAGGGGATCCAAGTATTGAAAATTGTCCAGCAGCAATATGACGAGGAGATCTTTCTCACTTATTAGCCTCCTTTTAATTTCTGCAGTCGACTCATTCAAAGGGAAATGATAGATTTGCTGGGAAATCTTCGCCGCAAGATCATCACATGAATTGACAACACTGCAGTTGATGTACACGACAGTAGTGTTATCGTCGTTATCTCGAATCTCATGTGCCGCTTTAATAGCAGTGGCTGTTTTTCCCATCCCAACAGCACCGTGTACTAAGACACAACTGCAGTCGTTTTCTGGGTGTGGGAGAAGACGTTTCTTAATGTCTTCAATTTCTTGATTGCGATTGACAAACTTTCGAATAGGACGCGGAAGATGGGACAAACCTCTACCAGCGCCTGTAAAACAAATTACGTATTGTTGCTGTATAGTCTGACGCAATTCATCAAGATTTACTTTATATGCAAATAACTAAACGGTAAATTAACGAAAAACGATACTGGCAGAGCTCTCAAGTGATCATGTGTTAATATAGTCTGCGTGGTAGTCGTATGGCGCTGCACGAAAGACGCGCGAGGGCATTGGGCAAAAAGGAGCAAAACGTGTCTCTTTTCTCCCCCTTGCCTTAAGGGAAACGACTGCTACGCTAGCTGCTGCTCGTGTCAATAGTGCTTTTTAACCTATTAAAACGGTGACAATTTTATCGAGCAAAGTTGGCTAACGATATGTAATAACAGATTTCTCCTCTTTCAAACACCAACCATTAACATTCACTCACAATACTTCTCTATTGGTGAATGACGTCCTGACTCAACAGACAGTGGTGGCTTTGGCAACGCAGAGGCGCAGAGCCTAAACTAAACCAAACTAGCTGAAAGATTTCAAATGCTTAATGCTAACTGAACGAAAAAAGATAGAAACAATACACAGAAGCCACCACCTGCACTGAATTGGAAAATCCTCAACTTTATTTTTGAAGAATAACTACTTAAAAACGAAAGTTTTCATATTAAAACTGCCGAACTGGCAAATGTTATAAACAAATGAAATAAGAAACGTTTTAGAAGAAATTATAAATTCAGTTATTGACATAAGGTTATCATCCAACTCAACCTTCGGCTTCGGCCAACACCCTCCTAAACTCCGTAATCATTCACGTGGATCAAACAACTGTTTATAACAGGATTAAGGTTGTCTTAAATTAGCTGTAACTTTTTATCAGAGCTACAAACTTAACGGCAACGCGGAATATAGTGTATTGTTTAATTTTTCTTTCATACCTGTAAGGCACTCTGCTCTGGGTAGGTTTTCTTGTCCATTTCCTGCTGTATCAAAATTTAATACCAATATGAGCGAAATTTAACTGTTTAAAGAACATTCTAAAGAAGGTATAACCTTCTTTTTAGAAGTCTGAACCCATCATCTGGGCCATCCAGATCTAAAGTCAGTTACTCAATAAGCCATAGACCAGACTTTCTTATTGGCGTCATTGGCTTGTAATAAACAATCAATAATAATAATAATCTTCTCAGGAATCATGCCCTAAAAAACTACAGTCGAACCCGGCTTTACGGACAGAAACCGCTTAATACGCACATTTCATTATTAGGGACAGTTTTCTTTGTCCCTAGGGAAAGCCCTAATGATAAATTTCTCTAAATTCAACCCACTCTTATTTTTGCCCAGTCAATAGATTCTCTTAGAATGTCAACCTCGCTAATGCGCCACCTTCAATGTCAACTGTGTGCTGTAACAAACTTTTCCTTTTTCAAGATAAAAATAAAACCCCTCAGTTGGCAGCATGTCGATGTTTCCAGTGCTACAGTTCACCGGATAGGACGAATTGGAAACGTCAATTTCAGACTATGTTGGTATCAGAAGAGTTATGCAGATAACGGTTTTTGATTAAGTAATGTATAAATGAACCACGTTTGAGTATTTTCATGAAAATCTGCAGTCTGCAAAAGACGACATTTTCGAGGTTAGAGATGTTTAACTTTACGATTTTAATGTCCTGTTTTATTTCTTTAGTATTATGTTCAAATTAAAGGTGTATAGTTGACTTATAAAACATGACCCGCTTCAAGGACACCTCATCAGTGTCGACCGTATAAACGCGGTTTGACTGTACCACGTTATTGTTAAAATACCTTGATTACTTTGCTGCATGATCGGTGAATCGGCAACAGAAACAGCGCTAGTAGCCTCCTCCGTTTGGTCCCTTACATTTCTTGGTCCTGTTTAGGAGAATCAATCACAGAATATTATAAATGAAGCACTGCAGTCAATAGTCGACCTAGCTTCCCCCGCAGACGTTCTTAAGGGTTCGTCACGCGTTCCTGCCCCACGTTGGGCAGGAGCGCGTGCCGAACCCCTAAGAACGTCTGCATGGGAGGCTACAGTAGACCCTGTAAATGGCATGCATAGGGTTTAATAAACAAGACGCTGTCAAAGAGTTAAGTCGGGCTTCCTTAGAGATTAGATACGACTATGAGGAGGCGATTAATTCTTAACAAGCCTTAGTGCGGGGTGGAAGCAATGTAGTTGTTAATTGTCGATAGTGATAGTGATGACGATGACGATCGCGATGATCATGCTGCTGCTGCTGCTGCTGCTGATGATGATGATGATGATGACAATGGTGGTGGTGATTGATAATAATGATGTTGTATATTCATCTTAATCAAAGGCTCCTAGGAGCAAGCTCATTGAATTGAATTAGTGTAGAAAAGACAGTTCATATGTCCAGGATCGATCTTGTTAGCAAAAATCTGCTAGCAAATTTTTTTGATGTGACTGTCAAACACTTTCCGAACGATAGTGCACTTTCTTGTAAAATAGCTAAATTTTACATAAGCCCGAGTTTATAAATGTTTCCATATGCTGTTCACAAAGAGCACTTAACGGTTTGTTTTTGTAGTACGAGCTATTAATTACAGAATACAGTCGTTTATGGTTGAATTAAACTGCTTTAGAACGCGCTTTTGCTAAACAGCAGCTAAAAATTATTTTAATCAAACGGACTAAGCTCGAAGGTGTACGTGCTCTGACCTAGGTAAGTAATTTAAACGCACTCGAAGTATCCGATTGCCTTTCTCTACCTGAATATTCTAGAAACTTGTTTATACCAGCGCAGCATTTTCTGTACAAATTACATTAATAGCACTGATAAATGGAATCATTGACAAACAACCTGCTGGGCAAAGATCACCTAAGAATTTAAGTAAAATAGCGTAACGCTTGTTGGTTCTAAAACCTGTGCTTCCAGTTGACACAACATTATTTTATTCCCTGTTTGCATACGAAGACAAATCGTTGAATGATTCGTCCAAGTAACTGAATAAACCACAATAGATACTCCTCAATGTCGCTTTAACAATTCGAGGACCGTTTTTTTTTTTGCTGCTATAAGGGCTCTTTGGCTTGTACGCTTTTCGCTGAACGAAATCCCACCGCGATCGTCAGGCTGCGATAGCTCTTTCACACTCCTGTCGATCGCATCTTCTCCTTATCAAGTTATATCGGGAACAAATGTGCACAATTCTTCCAAATGTACAACAATGATCCACGCTCAATTATTTCAATGTCCTTTTAACAATTCCAAGTCCATTTTTTGCAGATGATATTGTCAGTGTTCTTTAGAATATCTCCATTATACAAACCCCACGCCAAACATATGCGTAAAAGGCACTTGGAACAAAAGTAATACTAAGTAAGGGAGGTAAGAGTTAAGTGTTTAATCTGGCTTTAATGAATAAATTAATGAAAATCGAGTGAGTGAGTGAGTGAGTGAGTGATCGAGTGCCATTCGAGTGCCTCCAAAAGCCCATGGCATGACTACGTCATCCATGAGCTAAAAAGGTAACCAACCCAATCATATTACGTTGAATTGCACACTGATTGTTATGTTTTGGCTGATGAGAAGCTACTGTAAACTAATTTTAATGAAAATCAGACTCAATAGTTGTGGTAAAATTTCACTGTTTATTAGGATTATAAAAGAGAGTTTAAGTTTCACGTATACGGCAAACGGCAAACGGCAAACGTCAGATTCAAGTTGGGAATTTCTCTAAATAGAAAAATAAATGAGCAGATAAAAACAACTCAAAATAATTCTTATGGATTAAAAAAACTGCGTGAAACTACTAATTTAGGTGTAGAAATAATGAACAGTAAACGACAAGTAAAGAGGAAACTTGGTCACGTGGTACAATTCGCGTTTGCCGTTTAACGTAAACGTGATGCTTAACCTCTCTAAACTTTAAAAATGCTTTCAGAAGCAGCTTCTAAATACCTGTGATGTTTTGTTGGTCACCCATCCGTTCAACCACACGTATCTCAGATAATCAAAGCATCAAGAAGATAACGATTTCTTCTCCACTGCGGAAAGTAAAGTTAGTTTATGAAAGTAATTCAGATGGGTCAAAAATAGTAATAACTTTTTAACTTTTTTAGGGATAATGATCCCTTCAAGTTTCAAATAGTGTTATTTAAAAGGAGGCACAGATTGTTCAAATGTTCTATATAACTCCATATCACTTCTGTCAGTGGAACTTGAATTCCGGATTTCAATCTTTAGCAGGATTCCGGATTCCTAATGCTGAGTTTCGGATTCCAAAGCCACAAGCAAACACTTTTCCGGTTCCGGATTCCGGATTACATTCTTTATAATAACTGAGGACAAAGTGCTGCCTTTGTAAAGACATCTGCCAACGGTTAGACTTTCTAGTCTTCTCGGATAAGGACGATAAACGGTAGGCCCCGTCTCCCACCCCTTGCCTTGCATATATAAATTCTTTGGGACGTTAAAAAACCCACACACTGTTCGTAAAGAGTAGGGGACGTAGTCCCCGGTGTGGTGGTCTATCTGTCATGGGGGGAGGGACTTTTACGGGCCCGCAGTAATTGGCGTCATGCTGTTGCGGTGACCCTGCCAACAGTTGGCGAATCTAATAAAATACAATACAATAAATAAAAATAAAGTTACGGTACAACGGGCAGAGAAAACGTGCGATTTGTTTTGCTGCAAAACAAGTTGAATGGAGCGTTTTCACTCACGTGGCCAGCATCTATGCCAATTTATTGGAACAAAAGAAATCGTTTCAGGGGCGGATCTAGGGGGAGGGTGCAGGGGTGACCTGCGGTTTTCTAATACAACTGGTATTCTGCCAAAAAAAAAACTATGTGGTTTATTGTTGTTGAAGTAGAGCAAGAGACGAGTGCACCCCCTCCTAAAAAAAATCCTGGATCCGCCCCTGCGATTGCATAAGAAAAGAATTCAACTCCCACAGGATTGGTTTGGGACATGAATATGGTCGCCGTGACGTCATGTGAAAACACTCTATAGCGATGTTGCGCGTTTTACCACCCACGAATCAAATCTGTCCTGCAACAAATCA